GAAACCTTGTGGGTTCATCAATTAAAATGATTTGATTTAATTATAAATATAACACATGGTCACTTTGCATCTCTATTAACCATGGACAGTTACAAAACTGACAGAGAAGGAGAAGGCTAGTGCCCAAAGGCAGTTCTGCAACGAAGGCCACAGAGGACATTGTCAGATGGGAAAAACCTTGAAAATGTCAGTGGCTGAAGTCTTCCACTGTGCCTTCTCCAGAGAGGAGGGCAAACCAGCCAGGAAAGCAGAGCAAACAAAAAAATATGCAAAGCCCGAAGTAACCCTCTCACCAAAAGGATGATTATAGAGAAGCCCTGCAACTATCAGACCCTCAATACTCAACCAGAGGATGTCTCCAAGCAATCCAGTCCTTCCTACTAGCCCCACAATCCTGCGTCTCTCCTGTCTAGGATTGGGTTAGCTCCTGTGAAAGAAACAGCCTTGGTTCTCACAGAGCTGTCCGGACACGGAGGGATGGGGAAGGGAGGGGATTAATAAAACCAAAGCACCAGAGGCTGCTGGGAGTTCACTGTATGGCCCCGCCCCTCAGAAGGTTCAACAAAATATGCAGTATTTTCTTGCCACCAGAGTGGTCTGATCAAATACAAGTAGGATCCATGACAGAGGCTCTGTACCCTGAGTGTTCAGAGACCCTCTTTTGAATGGGAGATGGTTTTTCGCCATCTACCACATATTTAATAATGGAATTTTGAGGGATTATTAGGAATTTAATATTTTATATGTAAATTAAATTACTTACCAAACAGTTATGCTAACAGAATACTAAGGTTGGAAATTCAAGTGCTGTAAAGTTAGAAGATGCCATCACTCAGGATGCCCAGGCAATCTGAGGCCTTCCACACTACAGCACAGACCTCTGCCATGTGAGCTAACGAATTAATTACAACAGCTGGTAACAGGAGAGGGCTATTATCCTCAGTGAATCACCACTAGCGAATGCTTCATTGTATATTGAAATGGGGTTGTATTTGCATGACTAGCCCTGTTTACATGTAGCACAGCTAAATAGTAGGATTTGGCAGATTCTCTGGGGAATATTGTAGCCAAGGCTAGGCTCTGTCCTGCTGCGGATCTGGAGTCTATTTCCAAATATGTAAACTCTCAGGGAGGTACAAGATCTCAGACCAATAAGGGACATGAATGGCACAAAATTATTAACAGCAAGCAATAGAAAAAGTGAAACTTGAGCTCATGCTTCCCAATCCGCCATACATCCAGTTGTGCCCAAAGATGCTGTGTGCTTGGCCATTATTATTATTATTTGTGTTACCATAGTACCTAGGTGGGCAAGGGGGCATCCAGCACATTTTGCAAGTAAAGGGTTCTAGAATACAAAGTCCAGTCACAAGTCCATAGTATGAGGCTGACTCCTTTAGATGAAAGTTCTATAGCAGCACAATAGTTCCACAGTGGCCTTTCCTCTGAGAGGTGGCGTGGAATACCAGTTAATCAAATAAGAAATAGCAAGAGTTGAAACCAATAAAACGACGTCTCATCACAGTGGCATTATGTGTTTCGTACATTCAATTATATTCAATGGAAAGTGTAAATATTTTCACCTGTTTCTCAGACAGATGGCGGAATTCTGATATCTGTTACTTGGGATAAAACCCATCTTTGGGACAAAGGACCACACATCTGGGTTCCCGTCCTAACACCATCCTCCAGTTATGGGCAGAAGCTCCAAACCATATTCACTTCATCACAGATTTTCCCGGGGAGCATCATAGCAACCAATCTGAACATGTCTCGTCTTGGTGTTTTAGCCACCCTTCATAGACTTCTATTTACTTGACAGTCATATGTTTTCTGCCCTGGCTCTTACTGTATTCAGAAACAGTTACTTAGCTTCAATAAGCCCCTTGTTAAAGCCTTTTCCCTTTTGTAATCTCATCAAACTAACCAAAAGGAGTTTGTTCTGAAATAGAGAGTCCCATTTTGTAACCTGGCTCCCTATATGAGATCTCTCCATGCACACTCAAACCTCTTAGCCACAAAAGGGCTCTCTGCTTGTCCTAGTGAACTAACAAAACACTGCAATGTGTTTGGGTTAGCCAGCAGGGGGTTAATGAAAAGCCCAACCCCGGGGACTCCCACCTTATCTGCAATCATGAATTTATTGAAGAATGTGTTAATGTGCTGGATTTTATTCATCAGGGGTCAGGGCTTTTCAAATTCTTCTCTGCCAGCTCCCCCTCTTTCCATCCCTCCCCAGCAAACTCACAATGCTGTTTAAACAAAGGACTCCCAACACAAAGAGCAAATTTACACAGTAAAGTTTTCTTGCAAGCCCAGTGCAGGGTCTGGAAGAATTCCAGCTTTATACTGAGAAAAGGGGAGTGGAAGGGGGGGCATTTTATAGAGGATAAAAGGAAATTGAGAAAAGTTCCCACCTCCCTGCCAGTTAATGCCAATGCATTATACATCTCCAAGGATTTTTTCAACAGAAGATGGGGTCCTTCTGTCAGCAGAGCTACACTTCAGAACTGAGTCTACCCTTGATCAGAAAGAAAAATGCAGGGTGAGGTTTTTTTTATTATTGTTTGAAAACTTTACATCATGTTTAAATAGAATGTGTGTGTAGGGGTTAATAACAACTCTTGCCCCGTTGGAAGTCCTTTGCAAACATTAACTGAGTCTCACAACCTCCCTGCTACCCCACTTTCACAGTTGCACTGTTCTAAGACGCACACAGATTAAATGATGGGCTACAAGCCGTGTAGCAAGTAAGCGTCAAAGGTGAGTTTATAATTCAGGAATTTCTGTCTCCAACCTTTCCTTCAGTTCACTAAAACACACAGGCTCCCAAGGCAAGGCTATGGTCAGGGCACATTTTCAATCCTAAAATTGTTCTCCTGCCCTCCGGAAAAGGAGGTGTGCTTTGGAATTGCTGAACAAGACCTATTTGGATAGACAAATGACTGCTGTCTGAAATATGTATGTCTCAGTAGGTGTTAGGAAAAATGCTGCCCAACTCAAGAGGATAATCTATACAGAATGCCTCAGGAAAGCCAATGAAAATATAAAGCCTTTTCACATTTATTACATTTACAAATTGTGCCCCACTGTACTTTTGTGACAAAGCCTCCAGGGAGGGTGTGGACCCCATTTTCTCGGATCAGATTTAACTATGCTAGATGGAGTGATGGAAAACTAGGCTTCAGGAAAGAGTCCTGCACTAGTCAGGGGATGAACTAAATGATGTGTTTCAGGTGTTTTCCATCTCTAATTTCTACAGCCTAATTAGTTAACTCTGGCACCCTCTCAGCAACACAAGTAAGGTGAGGACTAGATAAACCAGCCACGTCAGAGGTGCTGTGCATCTAGAGGCCTGGAGAGACACATCATAATGTCTGCACAAATAGTTTTCACATATTTCATAAAGAAAATATACGCAATGTGCACTGGCCATAAAGCAATGACTGTTGGAGATCATGAACTGTGTTCTCCCAGCAGGGAGCTGACTGCCTCCAAGCCACACACCTGAAGAATTTGAAACACCTGATGACGTTTTATTATACTATCACACACACAGACGCACGTAAATTAACAGAATATAGCCATGATTCCATCTTTAACAAATGCACAAGTTCTGCTGCCAAAACAATGCCTTTAGCTCAACTTTCCATTGCTGCATTTATTTTCCGTAGTTTGCTAGAGAAAGTTGTGTCCTAAACCCCATCCATGCTAACACAGAATCAGTGCTAATCTCAAAAATCCACCACCATGCATAGGAGCCTAGGAACACAACAGTCTGAAAAGAAGTCACACATGCTAGGGCAGGGGTGGACAATAATTTTTTGCTGGGGGCCACTTCAGAAATTTTTTAAGTGGCCCCAGGCCGCACCGAAGGGATGGGGCCTCAAGTGGAAGGGGCAGGGCCAGAACACTTTCCTGCTT